TCAACTGAGTGTGCTATGTCGTTCACAGCTATGGCAAACAGTGTTACACTCAGCGTGGAGCCTTGTGGGACTCCATTTGCGAGGCTCTTGAGTGTAGACAGTGTGTCACCCACTCTCACTCTGAAAGTTCTTTCGGAAAGAAATGACAATATAAATGAAGGTAAGTTACCTCGAAAACCCCAGTCATGAAGTTTTCTCAGAATTCCATATCGCCATGTCATGTCATAGGCCTTCTCGATATCGAAAAACACTGCTACGGTATGTTCTCGTTTCTTGAAAGATTCTTGTATAAGGTGTTCAAGGAAGACAAGTTGATCTATCGTAGAACGGTGTTTTCTGAAACCTGCTTGGTGGTCCACTAGACATCCCCGTGATTCCAACATCCAAACTAATCTATTATTGACCATTTTCTCAAGGATCTTACCCATACAACAGGTGAGACTAATTGGCCTGTAGCTAGAAGGAAGAAGAGGATCATTTCCTTCTTTCAGTATGGGAACGATTATAGCCTCTTTCCACTGAGAAGGGTAAGTATTTGAATGCCATATTCTATTGAAAAGAGTAAGAAGTGATGTTTTGAATTCAAGAGGAAGATGCTTGATGATTTTATAGCTAATGAAGTCTGAGCCTGGAGATGACGGCTTAGAACAAGCCAGGGCGTTATCTAATTCAACTAGAGTGACAGGAAGATTATAGTGAAGTTGCTCAGGTGTAGAAAAGTCTAGAGGAATCTCCTGTATGGCTCTCAAATGTAGAAATTCGACATCATAATTGGCATCATCACTTGTAGAACAATAATGATTTGCCATACATTCAGCTACCAGAATGAGAGAGTCAGATATGGTTCCATCTTCTGAGCGTAAGTATTTCAGTGGTGGAGAAAAATTTCTACCAGAGACTGCGTTAACTTTGCGCCAGACCTCTGAGATAGGTGTATTCGCCGTCATCGATGAAACATAACCGCGCCAGGACGATTATTGCTTAGATCAGGTTCTCAGGGGATGGAGACTTTTTGAGTTTATTGAAAGCTTTTTTCTTAGCTTGTATGGCATTCCTCACTTGTGGGTTCCACCAAGGGACTACACGCTTATCCGGAAGTTGAGTTCTGATAGGTATAGCCTTTTCAGCTGCTAGTCTGATGTTATTTGTTATATTGTCGATCTCTTGACGCAGGTCTTCAGATTCATCGGGTAGTTCGAGTTGCTGTTCAAACACAAACCACTGAGCTTTATCCTCAATCCATTTCGGAGGTATTGGCATTCGTGTCCTCGGAATATCGGTTGATATGACGATCGGAAAATGGTCGATATTATGAAGATCCTCGAGGACATTCCAAGACAGTCGAGGTGCGATTCTAGAAGATGCAAGTGAAAGATCAATGGCAGAAAAATCTCTGGATCTAGCGTTGAAGTACGTCATCGATCCTGAGTTCAATAAAACTAAATCTTCACTTTCCAACAGCTGTTCTATGATGAGTCCACGTGCGTCACGTCGGTTGGAGCCCCAAAGGGGATTATGGGAATTCAGATCCCCTACTAGTAGAAATGGAACGAGCAGTTGTGATATGAGATCTTCCCAATCTTGTTTCTGCCAGTTCACATCCGGTAGGTAGATATTACATATAATCATCGATACAGGAGCCATGATTTGAACAGCGACCGCTTGTGAGGTAGTATTCAGATGAAGTGGGAAGTAGCGTGCGTCATTCCTTATCAGGAGAGCGACACCACCCTTAGCCCGTATCACGGGATAAGCCTCATTTCGGAGTATATATATATCAATTAATATTTAATTCAATATGTAATAATCAACTCTAAAGAACCAAATGTCCGCGATGACAAGTTATTCCATTCGGAAAATGAAGATAGATCCAGACCTACCAGATATCTTCAATTCCCAGAACCTATCACTTCAACCTTTCAAGTCGGTAGTTCCGATCAGAAGGACTTTGGTTTTCCTATTCGTTCTTCGCGATAGATCCTGTCATATCAATTCCTTCTCCTGATTGGTTATTTAGTCTCCCTTCTTCGATCTTCTGTGTCGCTGTCTAGCGGGAAGGACGAGCGCGCAAGACTTGATAAATTCGATATGGTTAATGAACCGGTGAAGGGCTGATAAGCGGAAGTAGATAGAAGAACGAATGGACGTCAGATAATTAAATGGTTGATTGATTGAAAAACATCTCAATGGAACGGAATAATCGTTACATCATATCCTCGTATGGAATATGGCTGATTCCGTTTGAGATGAGTCTCTTGGAGACAGAGACAAATTGGATCTAACTCAGATAACAATAACTTGAGTTCACAATAATGACGGATGCAGCCATTACAATTCCATTGGATTATGGTGCCCATTACAGATAGGTTGGAGAAGAGTTTGTGAATTGAATGAGATACGATTAAAATAAAATAAAATAGATGAGTAAAACAGATAAACAAAGGGTAGGAAAAATATCACAGAAATATCACAGATAGTTATATCAGGCCATCAGAAAGGACCCTATCGGGGCTTTCCTTTTGGCCAACCTTTGGTTTTTTTGAGTTCTTGAGAGGAAGGACCTTGTGTTTCTTCCTCTGAGGTAGATATCGCCAAGTCTCTATCTCTCTTCCGTTTTTCAGAACCTGCATCCGAAAACAAGACTTGGCTTGTGTCTGATTCGTTGTTTGGTCCAGAGTTAGGCGGTAGTGGACGAGTGAACGTTTGTGTTCCAGGTTTCCTAGCAACTCCTTTAGGTTCAAACACATCTTTTGATGCAGTAACAAGGGAAGGTATCAACTCTTTGACAAGTGTTGATACGTCAGTTTTGAAAGATGTCGAGGCAGCCTTCGCATACGAAACACCTGGCAAAGGTGTCTGAATGTCTACTTTCTTCTTCGCTCCAAAGTATGAGATGTTTTCTTTCGATTTAACTTCCTGGATGGCAGTTTCTTTCTTGAAAACCAAACACATTCGCGAACGTGCGGAATGGTTTTACCTTTGCAGTTGACGCAAGTAACTGGATCATCGCAGGGAGTTCCTTCATGCAGAGGCTTTCCACAAATACAAACTTGGTCGTTATTGCATCTCATAGATGTATGGCCGAATTTCTGGCGGCGCATTGGGGATGGTATGTACAGTCTTACATTCAATTTGTAGAATGCAACTTTCACCTTATCTGGTAAGACTGGTCTATCTATTATATTATATTATATTATATTATATTATATTATATTATATTATATTATATTATATTATATTATATTATATTATATTATATTATATTATATTATATTATATTATATTATATTATATTATATTATATTATATTATATTATATTATATTATATTATATTATATTATATTATATTATATTATATTATATTATATTATATTATATTATATTATAATATATTATATTATATTATATTATATTATATTATATTATATTATATTATATTATATTATATTATATTATATTATATTATATTATATTATATTATATTATATTATATTATATTATATTATATTATATTATATTATATTATATTATATTATATTATATTATATTATATTATATTATATTATATTATATTATATCAAATTATTAGTTATATTAGTAGATGTTCTGTTTTCCATCTAAGTGCGGCTCACAAAAGTAATGAATGGACTTTCTTACAGGAAATCCAGCCGATGGAATTGTACAGACTGACCATTTTCGATGTCCTAACGGTGTATCTCACTCATTTTCAGAGACATAGACCTGCGGATTTCGCGGATGTTGGCTACTTTTTTGTGAAACTCACGATTTCATAAACACAATTTGTCATAGTCCGCTTCGTTGTTGAGATAAAGGGAAAAATTTGAAATGTTGCCTTTTTGTATCTCAGCTATCTTTCAACTCATAAAAAAAGTATAAATTGTCTCTTGTATGCATTTTTCACGTAGGATCAAGTGGCATACTCAGTCAGATTTTTGAAACGAACTGTTACTATTCAGAAAAATGCTTTGCGCTTTTCAAACACACATAACATTCAACTTTCGATATTTTGAAGTATTCGCCTTGCATTTTCATAATTTCCAGTTTTTTCTGTAGGTATATCTTATTGATGGGCCATGGCAACATTTTCCATATCACAAATATTCATTCACCAATATTCAGCACTTTTTATCGACTATAAAAGCTGTGGTATTAATCAGTAAGTCACAATGAAAAGAAGCGAGTGCAGAATGTTTCGAAATTTTTGTCAACTGACTACCTGTCGCTAGAATTAGAAGTGGTTGGGGATATTGGTTGGTTATTATTTGACTTGGCATGAAACATTTGTTAACTTCGACAGGTAGTCAGGTGGAAAGAATTATTGAACATTCTGTAATCGGTTACTAGTGTGTGACGAAACATTGTGTCAGGTGACTAAGGTGGGTAAAAAAGTGTGGAGTTATCTGAAACTTCTAAATACAAGGCTGATACCCAAAATGTCGCACTAACTCGTATTGTATTTTTGGAGAGCACAAAGTATTAGTTTCCAGATATGAAGATTATACTGTTTTCTAAATTCGGTTATATCTGAATAATGAATAACAGGAGCCAAAATTTATATTCCTTGGCATACCTCGTATTGAATTAAACGCCTTTTTATTTATTCAGTGACTTATATATTTGACGTTATGAATCTGACATATATTTATAAATTGCCACCATTTCAAAAACAAAATACATAGGGATATTGAAAACAATGAACAGCCAAAGTGTTGGGTACAGAAATCAATAAACAGAATATAAATAACATATATAAAATTGGGAGAAGTAATAAAAGTCCATTAAAAGTTGAATTTTGCACGACATTTACGAAGATAGGTGTCCTTCAAAATTGTAAAAAGCTGAAGGGTAGCAAAATATCTATAGTTCCTGATTTAACGAAAGCTCAACAGGAAAGAAACAAAGTACTAAGAAGTCATCTTACTGAAATCCGGAAATCTACTGAAGACCATTGCTATATTAAAGGTGATAAACTATATAGGAATAATATAGCATATACCGTGGAACAATTGCTGGAATTTGAAGAAAAAAAAATACTCACCAACGTCCAAAGACCATCTAGTGAACCCCAAACTCCCTCTAAAGAAAATTCAATATTTTCTGATCCAGAGAAAGGTGTACTGGTACAAGAAGAAGAATCTAAGGTAGAGCAAAGGAAAAAAACCGTCGAACGTAAAAAAACCAAAGAAGAGGAGCTTATAAATAAAAGTAAAAATACGAATAAAACATTAGACCAAATCACCAGAGAAAGAAAACCATCCCTCAGATCACAAAATAATAAGTAAAATAAATCACTCATTCTCGGTATTATTTATTGTGTTTACCTTTTATTTCTTGTATTTATTTATTCTCTTTCTTGTTCCAAATCAAATCTTAAAATAATGCTTGAACTCATTGATGAACTAGATAACCAAACCATAGACACTGAAATATGTGAAAATTTCTATGATTATTTTCAAAATAGATTAGACAAGGATAAAAAAACATTGGGAGTGATACATTTCAATATACGGAGTCTAAAAAAACATATTGATGAACTACTTGTATATATACAGATGGCGGAGGATTCACTGGACATAATTGTGCTATCGGAAACGAGAATTATTGACTCGGTAAGTAATTTTTCAATACCAAACTACACTCAATACCACAACGATTCTAGTATTAATAAATGCGATGGGGTCATGATATATATCAAAAACAATATATCAGCCGACGTAACAATGATTCCAATTAATGATAGTCGTTTTCTAAGAGCTACATTCACCACGAACCATCTTTTGAAAAATAATAAAATAGGATCGACAGCTTATTACAGATCACCCGCAACAAACAGTTCAGATTACATAGAAGACTTGGAAAATTATTTATCTACATTGAACAAACAGAATATAGAAATCTACCTGGGGGACATAAACATAAATTTATTGAACGTCCATAATAATGAAACTAACAACTATTTAAACATCCTTGGTTCACATGATTTCATTTCCTATATAAACAAACCAACCAGGATGACAAAAAATACAAAATTTGCTATAGATCACATTTTTATAAGGAGAGAAAATAACCTAGAAAACTACCTATCAATATCACCCATAATTTTTTGTACAGACATGACAGACCATTACACCCCTTTCGTAAACATTACTTTCTCAGGAAATAAAAAACATAATTACAATCATACTGAACTAAAACAAAGAATCAATCATGATAAATTAAACCTCTTCCTATCAACAGAAACTTGGGAACATGTGTTGACAGAAACTGACCCTCAGAAATGCTACGATGTATTCATTACAAAACTAGAAAATTATATATCGTCATCCACAAATGAACAGCTAATGAAAAAAAAAATCACCAAACTCAAACCCTGGATTACTATAGGATTAGTAAACTCCATTCATTATCGGGATGAAATGAAAAAGAAACTTCTAAAACAATCCACAACAGAACTAGAAATGGAATATAAGAGATACAGAAATAAATTAAACACCCTAATAAAAAAGACAAAGAACGATTACTATAAAACTCAAATAAATGAAGCAGGTACAAACTATAAAAAAGTCTGGAGTATAATAAACGACATTCGGGGAAAAGATCAAAAGAAAAACATTGAAAGCACCGACATCATACTAGAAGACAACACTACTATAACTAATAATTCAGTAAAATCCAACGAATTCAATAAATTCTTTGTTAACATAGGTAAAAACATGTGCCGAAAAATAACAAGAACAAATCTTCCTGAAAACTTTCTGTCTGATATTAAAATTAAAGATTCGATTTTTTTGAATCCCGTGACAAACAATGAAATTATTATAATGATCGCAAACCTAAAAAATAACTCAGCACCAGGGCCAGACAAAATAACATCAAAAACATTGAAAGCTATTCATACTAATATATTAAAACCTCTTGTTCACATCATTAACCAAATATTCTTGAAAGGTATCATTCCTTGGCAGTGGAAAATCAGCAACGTAACACCAATATTCAAAGCTGGAAAAAAATCAAATCTCAATAACTACAGGCCTATATCTGTCATGAATACCACAGCAAAAGTATTTGAATAATGTATTAAAAAAAGACTTGAATTCCTAGATAAACACCGCATAATAACCGACAGGCAATTCGGTTTTGTGAAAAATTCTAACACTGAAAATGCCATAATGGACTTCCTTGAGCATACTGTAAAAGCCATGGACAGATCTACGAAATGCTTAGCTGTATTTCTTGATCTGGCCAAGGCTTTCGACACAGTTAATCATGAGCAACTGATAGAAAAACTAAATAATTATGGTATTCGTGGCACAACATTAGAATTGATGAAACACTACCTAACAAATAGAATACAAAGAGTTAAAATCAAGAACGTAATAAGTGACGAACTCATAATACAAACTGGCGTACCACAAGGGACAGTTCTGGGGCCGATCCTTTTTCTCATCTATATCAACAGTATAACCAAAATTAACCACTTCAATGGAAATATAATATGTTACGCGGACGATACTGTACTAATTTATATGGGATCAACGTGGACAGAAGTTAGGAACAAAGCCGAAGCAAGTTTACAAAAGGTACATACGTGGCTCAATAATAACATGTTATCTCTTAACGTGGATAAGACAAAGTACCTGTCATTTTCCCCCACCGTTCGTGATCAACCAGAAAACTTAAAAATAAAAATGCATGTACCACTCTGTGAAAATCAAGATACCTGTAACTGTCAGAGCTTAAGTCAAAGTACATCTATTAAATATCTAGGAGTCATAATAGATCAACATTTGAAATGGACGGAACATATTGATTATGTATCAAAACGACTCAGAGTATTAATGCACACTTTTTACGGAACAAGGGACATATTATCACAAAAAAATCTTATGATTCTTTACACATCACTTGCCGAATCCGTAATAAAATATTGTATCCCAGCGTGGGGTGCAACATTTAAAACAGTACTCACGCCAATACAAACTGCTCAAAACATACTATTAAAAATTATCCATAAAAAAAATAGACTTTTTCCTACCAAACAGCTATATCAAGAAACCAGCTTATTCAACATACAGTCACTACATACTTACCACTGCTTATTAAGAATGTTCCATGAACATAGAAATATCACATCACGAAAGCATTCGAGAGAAACTCGATCAATAAGGAACCTGGACGTAAAAGTAGAGTTTTTCAATAAGACGGTTACTCAAAATTCATTCCTCTTCTATGGGCCGAAAATTTTCAATATCCTTCCAAAAAACTTGAAAAAAATTAATTCTTTTTATATTTTCAAAAAAGAAACTAAAATATATGTACAAAATCACCCGGAAAAATTCCCACCTTTCTTTGATAAATATATCTAATTTTTTTTTTCTCTCTTTTTTCTTTCTCAAATAGTGAAATGTACCTCTTCAAATAAAAGAAATAAATAATTAATTCAAGAGAATAAAATCCAAATTGTCTAATCTCTTTTGAATCTCAAATCTTAAATTTACAGTCTTTTTCTCTCTCCTTTTCCTTTTTCCTTTCATCTGTAATTTTTGTTATATTTGAATTTTGTTATACTTTCCGTTAGACTTTACTTTACTTTACTTTACTTTACTGTAGCGAATTGTCAGCATTAAAAAAAAATAAAATAAAATAAAAGATACAATACTTTGTACAAATGTCTTACTAAGTCTGACACCACAAAACAGGCCACATGGCCTAGTGTGAGTCTACTTCAGTAAGACATTTAAAGATATCCATTCATTTGAATCAAACATCTGAATGATTTTAATATAATATAATATAATATGTTATGTTATGTTAATATATTGTTATTGTTGTTATTATATTGAATATATTGAATTGGATCCAAATCCAACATCCTCCCCTCAACAAATTAATCGAAACCATAACGTGTAGGGGGATTTATTTTGCGCCCTGTTCTCGTAACAGGGTGGTCTCCTTCAGTTTTTCCAGGTCCTTTCATTTTCTTCATATATTCTTCCTTCTTCTCTTCGTGATCTCTCTTCTCATCCTCTTTAGTTGTTTTATCCTCATGCCTTTCTCCTGTCTCTCCTGGTAGATATGTTTCAGTCTTGTTCAATACTTCCTCCTCTTCTATTTCTATTGAAAATAAACGTTGAAAAGGACGTACTACATCACCATTCATTGTTTTAACTCTGGCAACTCTTGATAATCCGTCTCTTCCAGAGATGATGTCTGTTATCCTTCCTAAGGGCCAATCAACTCTCTTCGTATTTTCTGACTCAATCAGCACAATTTCGCCAACTTTCAACTCACGGGGCTTCCTGTGACCAGTATTGACCAGTTCTGCTAAGTATTCCTTCTTGAAGCGAGTTCTGAAACCATCGCGTAGTTTCTGAACGTATCTGTATCGTTTTATTAGACTTTCTCTATCAATCTGATCCAAATCCGATAAATCATTGCTTGGAATGTCACAAATAAACATTGATGGTGTTAAAGGGCTTGAATAATTTTGATCATCTGATATGTATGTAATTGGTCGAGAATTGATAATTGATTCGCAATCACACAAAAGGGTCAATAATTCTTCATAGGATACACATGATTTTCCTAAATTTCTTCTCAATAATTCTTTAATGATTCTAACGAGTCTTTCCCACCATCCTCCCCACCAAGCCGCAGTTGGAGCATTGAAAATCCAGCGGATTCTCTTGATAGTGGAATACTCTAGAACCCTGTTCCATTCTATTCCTTTCAAGCGGTTTTGTGAACCATGAAAATTAGAGGCATTGTCAGAGTATATGGTGGACACTCTACCCCTGCGAGCTGTAAAACGTCTTAGAGCTAATAAAAAGTCATCAGTGGAGAGAGACTTGATCAGTTCAAAATGAATCGCCCTGTAAACTGCACATGTGAATAATACTATCCACGATTTTTCTCCATTTTTCAAGTACAAGGGTCCAGCCAAATCTATTCCAACCACTTCAAATGCAGCTCTACAAGTGATTCTATCTTTTGGTAAAGGGGCAAAAGGCGTTTCTGTAGATTTACTATTATACCTTTTACAAATGATACACCTTGAAACAACTTTTCTCACCATTTTTCGACCTCTAGGTATCCAGAATCTCTCACGAAGTATGCTCAATAGTGTTTGACTTCCTGAGTGGAAATTCTGACAATGATGTTCTTCTATGAGCCGCTCAACAATCTTATGCTGACTGGGTAATAATATAGGGTATTTGAAGTTCTCTGAATAGTCACCAAGAATTAGTCTTGTTTTAACTCTCCACAAACTATTCTCATCTTC